TGAGAAAGCCTGCTTATATATACTCAGAGCTTTCAATAGCCTTTTACTGCTTTGCTCATAAATATAAATGAATCATCAGACATTTGTGGGAAAAAGAAAATTGAATTTGATGAAAACAGAAAGAATGCACTAAAAACAAAAGAAACTTCAAAAATTATTATAAATATCCTCTAAGGTAAGACAAAATATCATACATACAAAACAAGAATGGAGCATTCATAGAGTAAGTTGTCCTTGGAAGTTGATCATTAAAGCAGTAATAAAATTCAATAGAAGCACTGAAAGATAAAGTTCAGGAAATCTTAGAAACTAGGAAAAAAGACAAATATGAAAGGAGAGAAAAATAAGAAAATGAAATGATTCTGAGAGATTCAACATCTGAATGTGAGGAGTTCTGGGAAGAAGCATTATAAAAAGTGAGGTTGGACACGGTGACAAAGAAAATTTCCCTAAACTGAAGGAAGTTTCTTCATTGAAAGAGTCCACTGATTGTGCAGTATACTGAATGAAAAAGGCCCAATTTTAATGCACAGCAGCATTCATTTAAAAAAAATATTTATTTAGTTGTAGATGAACATACAGTACCTTTATTTATTTATATGTGGTGCTGAGGATGGAACCCAGTGTTTCACATATTCAAGGCAAGCATTTTACCACTGAGCTACAGTCCCAGCCAGCATTCTTTTTTAAAGGAATTCAGATACAAATAGTTTTCACAGAGCATAGGTCTTACATACACAAATACACACACAGAAATTAAAAATTAAAATTTTAATGGCAACACTAGAAACTAGAAGATAATGAAAGACAATCTTTAATCCATTCTGAGGAAAAATAATTACCAACTCAGAATTCTATAAAGAGTTAAACTATAAATTAAACATGAAGAAAGCCTTAAGATATTTTTTAGAGATATGACATCTCAAAAAATTATTGCCTCTGTACTCCTTTTCAGTAAGGTATTAAAGGATATGTTTCAGTAAGATGAAGGAGTATTAACAAAAAAGAGGATAATATGTAATCTAGAAAAAAGAAAATATAATATATAATATGGAAAAGTAAAGAAAATGTCCAGGATGATGAATAAGGAAATATCAGAATGACATCACTAGACAGCAAGCCTAGAAAATAACCAAATCTATTTTTTATTAGTGCATTATAATTATACATAATAGTGAAATTCATTGTTATACATCTATTCATTCATATAATATAATAAAATACAATTTGGTTCTTAGTACCTCATACAACCCCCCTCCCCATTCTACAGGTCCCCCTTCTATTATCATGAGATCTGCCCCACATTTTTTTTACTAACTAGCTTCCACATATGAGAAAAAAACATACTTCCCTTGACTTCTTGAGTTTGTCTTATTTGGCTTAAGGAAGGATATCTTTAAAAAAAAAAGATGAAAGGGGCGGGGGAAGAAACATATGAAAGAAATGAAGAGATATGATAGAATAATTGATGTGACTGAATATATTAAGGGATTTATACTTTCTTGGTGAGAATGAGTAGATATGAGAATGTCTGTTTTAAAAGGCCAGGAATTTTTGTCTGTTTATACACTGCTTTTTTCCCCAAGTCTAAAACATGGCGAATACTCTATAAATATTTGAGTGAATGAGTAATGAATTAATTCATAGAAAATTAAATGGGACATTTTTATTGTATTAAAAATTTTTTAAAATTGACATTTTATATGTTCATGATATACAATACAATGTTTTGATATATGTATACATTGTGAACTTATTAAATCAAGCTATTTAATGTATCTATCATCTCATATACTTATTTTAGGTAAGAACACTTAAGATCTACTCTCACCAATTTTCAAAGCAAAATACATTGTTCGCTATAATCATCATGCTGTATAGACCTCCAGAACTTATTCATCCTGGCTAAATGAAACTTGGTACTCTGACCAATATCTTTTCATTCCCCCAACCCTCCTGGCCCTTTTGGCAATCACCACTCTACTATTTGCTTCTATGAATTTGACTATTTTTTGGTACCAGAAGTTGAACCCAGGGGTGCTTAACCATTAAGCCACATTCCCATCCCTTTTTAAATTTTTTATTTTGAGACAGGATCTCACTAAGTTGCTTAGGACCTCACTAAGTTGCTGAGGTTGGCTTTGAACTTGTAATCTTCCTGCTTCAGCTTCTAGAGCTGCTGGGATTACAGGCATGTGCCACCAAGCCAGCTGAATTTGATTTCTTTAAAGTTCACAAGTAAATGAGATCATGTAATATTTGTTTTTCTGTGCTAAATAGACATTTTTAAACTCTAGAGAAAATAATTTATTATATAGAAATTAAATTTAGTAATTATAAAGTACAAGGTTTAGCTATGCATACAGTATTTACAGTCTTAAAACTATTTTGATATAGACATATTGAGAGGACAGATGGAAGGAAATAGTGTGTTTGGATGTGTTATTAAAGAGAGGGGGAGAGGGAGAAAAGTAGAGACAGAAAAACACAGGGAGGGATGTCCCAGAGGGAAGAAAGAAAAAAGGAAGAAAAGGAGACATTAAATGGTTATTGGTGAGGGCTAAATCATCTTCCACGGCAAAATGTCAATGCTTCATGATCATATAAGTTTGAAGTAAAAAAATAGGTAACATCTAAAATAGTTAAAACTGTTTGTTGAAGGAGGATATCAGCAACATGCCAAAACAGAACTTCCAAGTACTTGCTTCTCACTGTAAATAATCAATGTGAACGGGCTGGAGCTGTAGTTCAGTGCGCAGACTGCTTGCCTAGTATGCACAAGGCACTGGCTTCGATCCTCAGCACCACATAAAAATAAACGCATAAAATAGGGGCATTCTGTCCATCTACAACTACAAAAAAAATTTTAAAAAAATCAATGTGAACAACTCTCCAACATGAAATCTTCGCAAGAGCTAAGGAAAGCAGGTGATAGAGTATAGCACCCATTTGTTCCACAGAAGTAAGATGTACTGAAGAGGGCAGGAAGGACAGTTTTATACTACTGCTATCAGTCCTCCCCTAACTCCAGGCAGTACAGTGAGAAGAGACCTTCCATAAGGAAGAAGAAGAGAGAAGTGAGCATCAGACTTTGTTCCAGATCTCCAAACCAAGTCTGCCCCTGTAAAACCCAGTGTTAGGTAGATAGATGCACATGGCCCCAGACACCAGGCAGCAAGGCCCTCCTTGGCACCAGGTAGGATCTTTCTGCCTCAGACTCCGGGCCTGCCTGGCAAATTTGAATTTCTTCCCTAGGCCCACTTCACCACTAGCTCACCTCAAAGGCCCCAGGCTCTGGGTGAGTCCCAGTGCCAGGCTGTTCCCTTACAGCTCTGATTTAGGGGCTGCCCCAGTACCAAGTCAGCCTCTACAGACTCAGGCTCACACAGCTAGCACTATGCTAGACCAAATGGCTTCAGGTTTTAGGCCTGCCGGATCACCTGGCCAGCCCCTGCAGCCCAAGTCATCAGGCTAATCTGTGGATCCAGCCTCTAGACTGGCCCCAGCAGCTGTAGTCTCCAGACCTGCCTCTCGCAGACAGCTCCCATGGTCCCAGGATTCATCCCAGCCCAGTGCCAGGCCAGTCCAATGGACCTACCCTCCAGGCTAGCCTCTGTGGCTTAGAGTTTGAGTCCAAGCAAGTTAACTGCCTGTTATCACAAAGAAGTCAACACTGTTCAGAGGAATATAACTAAATTTCAGAGCCATTCACAATGACCATAACAAATCTAAAATTACTAGACATATAAAAAACCAGGAAAACATGATTAATACTCAGGGAAGACAACATAAACCCCAAGATGACTCAAGTGTTAAAAGTAGCACTTGAAAGGAATTATAACCATACTCAAGAAAATAAGGAAAAATATGCTTGTGATGAATAAATTACAAAATCTCATCAGAGAAATAAAATTATAACAAAAATCCAAATGAAAATTTCAGAAGTGAAATACATGACCAAAACTTAAAAAAAAAAAAAAACAAAACCCTTAGGGTTTAACGACAGATTGAAAGTAACAGATAAAACTTGAGGATAAGTTGATCGTAATTATTCAATATAAAGAACAAAAAGAAAGATTTTTAAAAATTAGCAGTTATCAGGCACTTATGAAATAATATCTACAGGTTTACTCTATACATAGTTGGAATACTAAAAGGAGAGAAGAAAGAGAATAGAGAGAAAAAAAGAAAAAACAATGGCCTCAAATACCTAAAATTTCATAAAGTGAGAATTCTTAAACATTGCCTTGAGGGCATAAATGGAATTAACTTTTATAGAAAACAATCTGGCAATATGAATCTACAATCTTACATATATTCATATATGTTTTAGTTATTAATTGCACTTATAGATATCTATGCCAAGGAAATAGGAAGAAATAAAGTAAAAAACTCAGAGAAATATTCTTTAAGAAATTATTTATAATAGCAAAATTCTGTATTATGGAATATCAGGCTAATTGGGGCAAAATTGCCACATGTTAAATATTTGTTGAATGAATGAATGAAAAAAAATATAGAGACATTTTTTTTAAAAATTTAGAGACAGGGTCTTACTGAGTTGCTTAGGCTGAGAGTTGCCCTACTCTCTGGACGGCTGAGGCTGGCTTTGAACTCATGATCCTCTTGCCTCAGCCTCCCGTGCTGCTGGGATTATAGGCATGTGCCACCACACCCGGCTATGAATGAATATATTTTCACAAAATATTTAATGAGATAAAAAATGTATGAAAAAGTAAATAAAAATCTATATAAGCATAGTCCCTATTACTTAATATGGAATATAAATAATATAAAGAAAAATAGGAGAAAGGGCTCAAAGATTATGAATGAATTTTTATTTTCTTTACATTTTTCTATATTTTTCAAAAAATTTTATGACAATTATTAATTTGGTCAAAAATAATAAAAATGAATATTAAGCTACAATTTGATGCCAAACATATTCTAAATATCTAAGTCCTTAGTATAATATCTTGCCTTCACCCAGCTCTTTTTACCTTGGTCCAGGATCACTCCCATTCATATCCAGATTGGGCTCTTGGAGTTTAGTAAATTCTTTGTCAGGAACCAGTTTTGTAGACTTAAATACAGCTTGAGTTCTTAACCTGTAAAAATAAATTTAGAGAATTTCTAATCCTGAGGAGCCTGAGAGGCTAACTGATAATCCCTGGAAAACTATGCTCTTCCAACTAGATCCGTAGCTTCCCAGCAATCATTTTCAAATTAAACCTTTGTCAAAAATAAATGGGTAGACTGGATGTATAGCTGCAGCAGGTTCACAGCATGTGCACGGCCCTGGGATCAATTCCCCCACACCACTAACAAACAAATGGATAATTACTAAACATACATAAATAAGCACAAATTGACTTTGTTCTCTTTATTTATAAGAGAATAGTTTATGATATAATTTAAAAAGTCAAAATTATAGATGCTTTTGGAGTACTTTGAATCTATTCTCTAGAAATTTAAAGACTCACTCTATTGCTTAGTGTATTTTGGTCACTAAAGTCTAAACAGGAATTCTAGTAACTTAAGTATCATTAATCATGTCCAATATTATGTGGGAATTCCCCACTTCTAATAGTCACATGTCAAAGAGCTGGGTCTACAGCTCACTGACTAAATAGTTTCTCTGGGACACAGACAAATAAGAATTAGAAGACACCAAAATCCCATACTCACATGTTCTGAGAAGGCAAAGCTGTTGAAATCAGCACAAAAGTGATCTCAATTACTAATACCAAATATGTGACACTACCCATTCTCTGTTTTGTAGAAATGTTATCTGGTTCTTTGTATAAGTATATTCTTTAACTATAAAATCACACACCATGAAGAGGTAAAAACACCATTCATATGGTATCATCATTTTCTTATAATTGTAGCTATCTATACATAAGAATAAACAAAGAGATTATAAAGATTAATCACCCTTAGGAACTTATTGTTTATTTGAGACAACTGAGACTAATATTTGGTAGTGACACAGACGTAGGTAGGTTAAATGCAAATGTAAAATGTTAAAAATCAGGCAATTATAGAAGCAGTCAGAGCAGTGTTGGCAGCAGTGGTAGAAATGATGATGTTGAAGATATAAGACACCATTGAAGGAATGCACTTTCCATATACTGTTGCGCTGATCCTTATGACTACTCTATGAAGTAGTTATTTATTACTCTATATTTACAGATTGCTAAAGCAAGGCACAGACACATAATTCATCTAAGGTAACACATTTTTAAATGATAAAGGCATATTTTTTAATCATAATTAGGTATAAAGTACATATACTCAAGAATATTATAAGAGTGGGAAACAATGATAATTACTAATTTTTTTGTGATATTGAGGATTGAGCCCACACAACCTAGGCAAGTACTCAAACACTGAGCTACATCCCCAGCTCTTTTTTTTTTTTTTTTTTTTTTAAACAGGGTACTGCTAAGTTGCCTTGGGTGGCCTTGAACTTGTGGTCCTCCTGCCTCAGCCTCCTGAGAACCTGAGATTATAAATGTGCACTGCAGTGTTGGACTAAATATCTATAATTAACCTTAATTTTTATTCATAATACATACACTACTTTGCTCCAAAAAGGATTTAAGGTAGTTCTTGGCATGTGATAAACACTATTCTGGATAAATCCTCTCAGATCAGTCTAGAAAGGGTTCATAAAGATTTTGAAAGCTCTTATTGACCATTGTGTAATATCAAGATAGCAGAATGAATTGTTAAGTAGAGTTTAAGTAAATGTTAATAACATGCTTAAGTGTTATTCCAATATGACAGGTTCACCCTCAAATTCTGAACTATTTTAAGAATTCTATACTACTCACTTGACAGTAATTATAGATTGTTTCCCAATATTATTCCTGAGCATTGTGAGCACCATAAACAATGCTTGTGCATGACAAGTATTACTTTAGTAATTTAATTAAAGTGAGGTTTTTTAATATACAAAATTTCAAATTATGTATAAATTTGAAAGTAGGATTATGTTATGTATACTGAGAGTCAAGACCAAGTCTTGCTGATTTGATACTCCTCTCATATAGTTTTGTATTGAATAGGGGGATTAGTAAATGTTTGCTTAAATAAGGGGAATTAAAATGAATTATAGAACTACATTTCACATCAAACAATAATGGGTCAATTTTGTATATGTGCAATAACTTAGCTAAGAAAGAAACTAGACCTAAAAATTTTAAGTAGAGGGGTTTTAACTGTGCTGTAATGAATAGATAAGGAGTAGATAAATGTAAAAGAGCAAAGTATATTTAAATCAGAAGAAAAGGTATGGTTTGAGGAAGAAATATAAATAGTATGTTGGGAACAGTTCAAGGAGATGAAACTTACCTTTGGTGAAAATTATATCTCAGTACAAGTGGGGCAAATGGGGAGAGAGGTGATTACAGATTATAAAAAGTTTTGCACACAAGTTTGAATAGATATAATCCAGTAGGAAATTCTTATGGGTTTTTAAAATCCAGAAGTGGTACCATAAAGGCAATGTCTTAGGAGGATTCGTTTGAGATAGATATTCTTGGTATAGGATACTAATGTGCAGAAAGTTGAATATCAGATAAATTGTGAGTGATAAAATTACGTAAATCTAAAAAGTAGGCCAGAGAGTAGGGCAACTCTCAGCCTAGAAATATGAATTGTGATACTGATTAGTTAAATGGATAAATTTAGGCTCCTAGTTCTGCATTGTACCAGCTCACAACAGAAGACCAGCTTACTTTCAGGGCAAAAGTTAAGCAGAGGAATGAAAGATGAAAGCCATGGAATTAAAAATGCTCTGAGTTTTGGCTTATCTGGGCATCTCACTCACTTCTTGATAGAGGGAATTTTGTTTTATGACTACAGCTTTAAAGGACAAATGAAATGGCAGAACTATGATGGCCAAGACTCACAAAGAGTCACAAAAACTCTTTAAAAGATGACTAAGGCTCCAGAAACTAGGCTGACCAGTTCTATGGATGGCGAGTATTACAAATGGACACCGTCTGATGGTTTATAAACATTTAGATCACAAGAACTTCCCAAGAAGATTGAAAATGTCCCAAAGGAATACCCAGGGGTTTCCTAAAGCTTGAAAGTAAATAATGTCTTCCAAAGGTAATTTCAATCTATCCAGGAGAATGCACTAAAGTCAAATAACAGCCATTTCAAGGAGGGGAATTTGGCAGAACATAAGACACAAACAAATTAAAAGGATATTAGCATAAAGAGATCTGAACCCAAGAAGGAACTTGAACGAGCTCAGTTGAGTTGTTTTTCAGATAAGTATAAATTTTAAGAGTTTTTAAAAAAAGTAACAAATTTCAAGGCTAATGACAGAAAATAGGCATTCTCCTCTTATTAGGAGACTTATATTATAGACCTTCCTGATAATTGTACTTTGCAAAGTATTTTGCTCACTTGATAAAAGTCTAATTTTTGAATAGAAAATGAAATATAGTTGATGAAATCTGAGTCCTATGAGTTACTGGATGAATGAAATTGGAAGAAAATTAGAAATCATTTGACCCATTGAATGCACTGAATGTTAACATATTTATGGCTGTCTTATTCACTAAAATCTCTAGGGAATTCCAGGTCTGGAACAGAAGTAAATATACTTCTCCCTACACCTGAAACTAAAACACCTAGATGTCATATTGAAATAAAAATCTCTGAAAAGAAATAGGACACAATGGGAAAAACATATCATTGAGATGGATCTTGTAATAAGACTTTAAAAGGTAAGCAGAAAAAGTAGACCAGATCTAGAGGAACAAGATGAGTTTCTAGGGCTTTCTTTTTGCCTCATACACCTTGGATATATTAGAAAAGTTGGCAACCCAGAAACTCCAAAGAAGAAGAGAGAGAAGCTTGCCCTCTCTCACCAGAAAACTCCAAAAGCCTGGAGGAAGAGAGAGAGGGGGAGGGGAGGCACGAGAAGCCTGCCCTCTCTTATCAGAGAATCAAGAAAGAGGTAGTCCTACAAGGCAAAAAAACTTCAAAACACTAAGTACCCTACTCCAGCCCCCAAATCATGGGAAAAACTGTAGCCTCACTTCCCTTATTCCAAACAAAGGACAAGTGGGAGGCTATTTTCCCATTTTCCACTAGCTCTAACAAGGCATCCAACCCTTCTGCTATAGTAGTGTCAGAGATCTTCCTGCTAAAATGGAATATCTGAGTAAAACTCAGAATATCTCATTCCAAAAGCAATTGAAAATCACTCAGCATATGAAGAAAATCTTACTGTATAAGAAAAAACTATCATCAGAAGCCAGCACCAAGATGATACAAATGTTGGAATTATCTAATATTAAAACATACATAATAGGAATGTTTCAAAAATCACTTCTGAACCCGCTTGAAACAACACAAAACAAAACACCCAGAAAAATCTCTGAAAAGAAATAGGACACAATGGGAAAAACATATCATTGAGATGGATCTTGTAAATAAGCGGAAGTATCTATTCTCACATAAGATAAAGTTGACTTCAAGCCAAAGTTAATCAGAAGAGACAAAGAATGTCACTTCATAGTGCTTAAGTGAATCACACAACAACAGAAAATAGCAATTTTGCAAATACTTATACCCCAAACAATGGAGCATCTTCTTATTTCAAACAAACCCTTCTCCATATCAAGAATCAAATAGACCATAACACAATAATACTGGGTGACTTTAACATGCCTCACATAAACTAGCTAGATCTCCCAAACAAAAACTTAATAAAGGGCTGGGGAAATAGCTCAGTTGGCAGAGTACTTGCTTCACTTGCACAAGACCCTGGGTTCAAACCCCAGCACCACATACACACACAAAAAGTTAATAAAGAAGCTACAGAACTAAAATATATAATTAATAATTTAAACTTAACAGACATATATAGATTATTTCATCCATCAATTACTAAATACACATTTTTCTCAGCAGCACATGGAATATTTTCTAAAATAGACCATATCTTAGGCCATAAGCAACTATTTGCAAATACAAAAAACCAGAGATAATACCATATAGTCTATCAGACCATAATGGAATGAAACTAACTATAACATAGATCCACTATTGAATGATGAATGAATAGCAGATGAAATCAGAGGTGAAATTTAAAAAAAAAAAAAAAGGAGCAAATGAGAACATAGATATAATATATCAAAATCTCTGGGACATTATGAAGGTAATTCTAAGAGGAAAGTTCATATCATTGAGCTCATACATTAAAAGAATAAAAAGATAGCAGGTAAATAATCTATCATTATATCTCAAGGCCTTAGAAAAGTAACAACAAGCCAACGCCAAAATCAATAAGACAGAAAATAATTAAAATCAAAGCTTCAATGAAATTGAGATTAAAAACTTCAAAAAAATCAATGAAAGAAAAAGTTGGTTCTTTGAAAGAATTATCAAAACTGGTAAACCCTTAGCCAAGCTAATCAAAAGAGAGAAAAAACTTAAATTGCTAAAATCTGTGATGAAAAAAGGAAATATCACCATAGACATACTGAAATACAGAGGATAGCAAGAAATTATTTTGAAAATTTATACTCCAATAAGGTAGAAAATCTTGAAGTCATGGACAAATTCCTAAAGACATACGACCTACTCAAATTGAACCAAGAGTATATAGAAAATTTAAACAGACTAATTTTTAAGAAAGGAAATTGAAGCAATTATCAAAAGCCTACCAACGAAGACAAGCCCAGGACCAGAAGGATTCTCATTAGAGTTCTACCAAACCTTTAAAGAAGAATACCAATCCTCTTCAAATTATTCCAAAAAACAAAAAAGAAGGGAAATCTTCCAAACACATTCTATGAAGCTAGTATCACCCTTATAACAAAACCAGACATAGACATCAAGGAAACAAAACTTCAGAACAATGTCCTTAATGAACACAGATGAAAAAATTCTGAATAAAATATGGGAAAATTACATACAAAAACACATTAAAAAGATAATGCACCATGATCAAGGAGGTTTCAACTCAAGAATCCAAGTTTGATTCAACATATGAAAAATCAATAAATGTAATTCATCACATACACAGACTTAAAGAAAATAATCACATTATTATCTCAATAGATGGAGAAAAAGCAATTGACAAAATATAGCACCCATTCATATTCAAAACACTAAAAAAACTAGGGAGAGTAGGAACATAACTAAACATACCCAAGGCCAACATCATTCTAAATGGAGAAAAACTAGAAGCATTTCCTCTAAAAATAGAAACAAAGACAGGGATGCCCTCTTTTACCACTTCTATTCAACATAGTTGAATAGAAAGAAAAAGTTGGTTTTTTGAAAGAATTATCAAAACACTACAAAAACTAGGGAGAGTAGGAACATAACTAAATATACCCAAGGCCAACATCATTCTAAATGGAGAAAAACTAGAAGCATTTCCTCTAAAAATAGAAACAAAGACAGGGATATCCTGGAAACTCTAGCCAGAGCAATTAGACAAAAGAAAAAAATTAAAGGTATAGGAAAAGAAGAGATCAAACTATCTCTGTTTGCCTATGACATGATTCTATATTTAGAAAACTCAAAAAAACTCCACCAGAAAACTTCTAGAACTCACAAATTCAGAAAGGTAGCAGGACACAAAATTAACACCCAGAAATCATCTGTGTTCTTATAATCCAATGACAAAGCAGCTGAAAAAAAATCAGCAAAACCATCTCATTCACAATAGCCTAAAAGAAAATAATATACTTGGGAATCAATCTAACAAAAAAAGTGAAGGACCCTAACAATGAAAACTACAGAACTCTAAAGAAAGAAATTGAAAAGCTCTCTTAGAAAATGAAAAGCTCTCCCGTGTTCTTGGGTAGGTAGAATTAATTTTGTTAAATGGCCATATTACCAAAAATGCTATACAGATATAATGCAATTCCCACCAAAATTCCAATGATGTTCTTCATAAAGGTAGAAAATGCAATCATAAAATTCATCTGGAAAAAGCTCAGAACAGCCAAAAGCAATCCTCAGCAAAAAAAAAAAAAAAAAAAAACGTAGGAGACACCATAATACCAGACTTTAAATTATACTACAGAGCTGTACTAACAAAAAAGTATTGTCACAAAAATAGAATTGAAGACCAATGGAACAGAATAGAAGACACAGAGACATATCCACATAAATACAATTATCTTATATTAGACAAAGGCACCATAAATATACATTCGAGAAAAGATAGGCTATTCACCAAACGGTGCTGGGAAAACTGGAAATCCATATATAATAGAAATGAAATTGAACCTCTGAATCTCACCCTGCACAAAACTAAAACTAGATCAAAGACCTAGAAATTTAGACCAGAAACCCTAGAAGAAAATGTAGGTCTGATACTCCAACATTTTGGCTCAGGAACTGACTTCTTCAACAAGACTCATGAAGCGCAAGAAGTAAAATTAATAATTAATAAATGGCTTGGCATCAAACTAACATGGTTTTTTCACAGCAAAGAAAACAATCAAGAACGTGAAAAGAGAGCCTACAGAATGAGAGAAAATCTTTGTCACCTGCACCTCAAATACAGTGTTAATTTCTATGAAATAAAAAGAACTAAAAAAACCCATGAAAACAAAAACAAAAAACACAAATAACTCAATCAATAAATGAATAAAGGAACTATACAGAAATTTTTCAGAAGAAGAAATATAAATGGTGAGTAGTAGGAAAGGCAATCTTCATGGTAACAAAATATATCTGCTCTTTAATTGTAGTGATGGCTTTACATATCTACACATGTGGTAAAATAGCATACATAAAAATACAAACATGCATTGTATCGATATTAATTTAGCAGTTTTAATATTGTATTATACTTATGCTAGACATAGCCAACGGGGAAATCTGGGTGAAAGATCCATGGGAATTTTCTGTGCTGTTTTTTGCAACTTCCTGTGACTCAATACTTACTATGAAATAAAGTTTAAAAATATATATATATGAATATGTATACATTTTGCAATTTATACATATATAAAACTTGCTTAAATGCTGTGCTTCCTAGATCTCTTATATAAGCTAGGATAGTACAGAACAATATAGACTATATTATCATTATCCAGTATTATCTGAATATATAATGCTACACAAATGAATAGGATGCCTATTCTAATATTATTCATTTTCCCCTGCTAGACTGTACTCTCTTCAAAATAAAGACCAAACTTGAATCATTTATTATCCTAGCATCTACAACAATACTTCACATATTCCAGACATTCAATGAATGCTTCTTAAATTAAGTTCCCAGGATAGCCTACACTAAGTGGAGGATTAGGGATTGGGATCATAAAAATGAAGCAACTGCAGTCTTTGGTGACAATCCTGTAAGAGCCTTCATTTTCATTTACTTTGAAAGCTTCCAGGTCTCTTCAATAAAGGGGGAAAAGAAAGAGGAGGATAACTTGTATGTCCCAGAAAAGTAGGTATTACATTGAGAAGAAAAATACCAGGACTCTCAAAGCAATTAAAATTTTACAAATATTAGGCATAATCTGTAAGTGAAAGAAAATCAACCCTAAGAAGTAAAAGAAAATAAACTGTCACTGTGTCTGTGATGCATGCATCTAGTAAGAATGTGTACAAGGGAAAATGGGCAATTTGACCAAGAAGGAAATGGCAGAGATAAAAAAGCACTTCCCTATGAAAACTTGCAATTTATTACTTTTAAAAAGTATGAATACTATATTTTATTGTTTTAAATAAAATTGTATGATTTATTACTATTTTTCTTGAATAAATTAAGCAAATTTTATGATTCTGCTATGAAACTATTTTGACCGCTATATAGTATTAGAATAGCAATTTAGCTTTGACACTGTTTTTAGGAAAGAACTGTTAAAATAACAGTTTAAATGTGAATAGGTTTATAAGAATCAGTTATTAAACAGGTTTTGCTTCATGACCAGAAAGGGTTAAACTTAAAAGGTTCCTATCATTTGTTACATATATTTATATAATGGCAGATAGACATAAATATGCAATGATGACAGCTAATAACACTTCTTCACAATCTGATTCCATACCCTGAAATTTCAAGTTTTTACTTAATACCTAAGAGTTGACATCAATTCTGTACAATGGTAGTATCATTTAAAAATATTATCTTTGAAATCCACCAAGTTACACTGGACTGCTCAGAGGTAGTTCTTCTAATCTAAAATTTTAGAAGACAAGGTAATCTTTCTTGTCTTTCACAGAAGACAGGAATTTACTTTGTAGGCATAGTCATGATACATTTTGACCAAGCCAAGATCTGGAAGAATTTCTGTTCCTACACATCTGCTGAAGTAATATACCAACTACTTTATATGTGTTTTCCAAACTATAGACATTGTTAAAAAGAATAGGCAGGACTCACCAATTGTAATCTAGCCGAGACTGGTGAAGCTGCTGCTGTTTTAGGAGAAGTTTTGTCTCCTGCTGAGCCAGCAGATGCTGAAGACGCTCCTTTTCAATTTCCAGCTCCATTTTCTGAAGCATCAGTTGTTTCCTTCTATCTTCTGAGAGTTGCTTTTTGACATCAGTTTCACTGGGTTGCAGAGCCCCTCCACCATGCATGAGAGATCCCCAAGAAAGCCCACAATAACTGCATGATTCTGGATCTGTCTTGGAACATTGAGACACTATGCTTGTAGGATGGCTCTCATGCACATGATCTTCATTTTCAGAAGATCTGTGACCACGACACTGACTAGAAGAACTAGGCTTAATATGTAGACATTCCTTCATCTTCAGTTCTTCTGGTGGAGGTTTCTCTGATGGTGCTGTATCCACTGGTTTTCTCCCTGGAGATTCATAATTACATATTCTGGTCTCTGATGACACCCTGTCTGGATTCTCTTTGGGATGATGAAAGGTTACTGGTTTCAAAGAATTGTTCCTATATTCCATATGAGATTCTGAAGCTGAGTCTTGGTTTGCAGACTTCGGCCTTCCCTTGGTTTGACTGCAAGTTTGTGGTTTGGCAACACTCAAGTAGGAACCATCCAGTTCTACAGATGAAGACCGGGGAGTACTTTTCCTATTGGTTACCTAAAAAAGAAAACAATGTCTCTTGTCAAATAAAAGCATGATAAAATAAGTTATTTCTTTTGGTCTTTCAAAAATCAATGATACGTGTTCATGTAAACAAAGCTCGTTTTATCTTCTTAAAAACTAAATGATAGTATTTCTTGGGGCTGGGGTTGTGGCTCAGCGGAAGAGTGCTTGCCTCACATGTGCGAGGCAATCCTTAGCACCATGTAAAAAAATAAAGGTATTGTGTCCATCTATAACTCAAAAAATAATTTTTTTAAAAATTAAATGATAGCATTCTTATAGCTAAGCAGATATGTGCCAGAAAACTATATTGGTTTTCAACCAAACTTCTACATATCAGAAAATCCATATAAGGATGAAAATAATATAGTGTTGCTACATGCTGCTTAAGTAAGAACTTTGATGATTTGAAGAGTTGCAAATAATGAAGGTTACATAAACTCAACTTTGAGAAAAGGGAAAAACATTAAGTTTAATGTCTAAAAATGTTTACTTTTGAATACTGAGCCAAGAAATCCATTCAGCCACCTTAAATACCCTTTGATTGGCCATTATACAGAATGGGATTTGATGTAAAACATTTTGCCTTATACTAAATAGGATGTTACTGCTAGAAATGTGATGAGTTTTTATAAATACCTTTACGAAACACAGATAAAACCAACCACTTTAAACAATATATAATTCTAAACAAAAACCGTTATTTAAATATAAACCATAGTTAATTTCAATTACAAACATAAGTGATTTTTCAATTAAGCTGTTCAACAGGATATAGTAGGACAGAAAAGATGTAGTTGCAAATTATTGCTGACAGGTCAAGACAGTGAGCTTTTCCTATATTTTAGCCTTAAGCTTGTTCTATCAGGGAGAGCAAAACTCAGCCTGAGGGTAAATGATTCTCAAACTTTAGTATGTTTCAGAGTCATTTACTTCTCTGTCTCAATAACTTTTGAAGGCAGGAGCTAGATTTATATCTCTATATACACAGTATTGGGGCTTGTATATAATACATGCTCAGTAAGCATGGCTGTTTATATAAACTTAGGAAAAAATTCAAATTGGGTTATGGTTCACAGTAACTGAAGAAAATTTAGAATCCATGACTAGCCTGAATTAGTTAATTAGCAGGAGAAAGAGAAAAGACATTAAAAAAACTCTCTGCTAGAGTCTAAATTTAATAAATTAAGCTATCTTATTGGTGGAGTTGAAAATAGACATTGCCTCTGGGACACATGAGAGTAACAACAGGCTTGAATGAGCCAGGTTCGGGTTTTTTTTCTAGAACTGATCCATGACTACTTTGGGATATTTACAAATACAACTTTTCTTAATTAAGACTTAAACTAATGAAAAGTCCTAAACTGCTTCTTCTAGCATACAGATTTAATATGAAACATTTAGATACATAATATTTTTAAGAATAAAAATATTTTTTAGTTGCAGATGGACACAATATCTTTATTTACTTATCTTTATGCAGTGCTGAGGATCGAACCCTGTGCCTCACCGTGCTAGGCAAGTACTCTACCACTGATCCACAACCCCAGCTCCACAACCCCAGATACATAATATTAACTTAGATAACAAATTTCTAATTTAGAAAATCATAAATGAATTTTCAAAAATTGAGGCACAATTTCCAAATAATACACACTCTTTTATACATGGTTTCTTCAATTCAGCATAATTTTTGAATTGCTTCTGTTGTTACCAGAATCCTAACTCCAGCAGTTCCAAAAAACCAGGTCTACCTACCCATTTGCTCCAAAAAACTAAACAGAAAAGTTTTCAGTGAAACGCAGGAAAGAAAACCTTCACCAACATGGCCACAATGGGAAGGGAAAATGAGATCCAGCATTTCAGCAGGATTTTTAGGCTTAAATGGAGGAAAAATTGGGGCAAGGGTGAGAGGTCTGCATAATTAAACAGTTTTGGTCAAACTATGTTCTGGCTGATCATTATTTCAGTTCTGGTTCTGTCAGATTGCTCTGGAGAAATTTTTATCACTTGAGGGGTTAATTTCTATTTGTTGTGCAGGATGTTTATCAGACCAGTGATTCTGGAAGGTGAATGTCTCACTACAAATCCTGCTCTTCCATTACTCCATGTTATCACTTAAAAAAAAAAAAAACCCACTTCTTTAATGTCCACTTCAGTTAATGATCACAAGGCGATGCCCACATAACCATTATCCAAGAACTTAAACACTGCTTGCAGGGAGACCTTTCATGGCTGTTCTATCCCTCCTGCCAAAGGGAATGAGTATACTAAGTTTTACCTGATTAATTTCTTTGCTTCAATTCTTCTCTGATTAGATATCCACACCAGAGTTTAGTTTTATCTGTTTATTTTTTAAGTATAAATGAAACCACATGATATATATTCTTTTGTGTGTGGCATCTTTAACCCAACATTATATTTGTTAAATTAATCTATGCTGCTGTATGTAGCTGTTTTTTTTTTTTTTTTTTTAAGACTATACAACAGAAGCCAGAAAACTTTTTCAAGAAAGGGACAAACAGTACATATTTTAAGCCTTGCAGGCCATACATACAGTCCTTGTCACTACTACCTGGCTCTGCTTTTATGATGCAAAAGTACAAGATAATACATGAATGAATGTATCTAGGTGTATTCTAGTAAAACCTTATTTATGAACAGTGAAATTTAAGTTTCATGTGATTTTCCCATTCTATGAAATATTATTCTCTCTTCCTACATCCTAATGTAAAGCTCATGAGTTGTAATAAAAACATACAGTGGGCTAGATTTGGCCAGCTGTTGTTTGTCAACTGAACTTGACGACTACATTGAATGTTCTCCCAATTACATATTTGTATACGCTAAGATACACTCAAAATCCAATAAGAAAACTAAGCAGTAAGACTTGACATACATATCATTTACAGGTTTTCTCTGTAACGAATATATGTTGAATTGGGTGCTTAATCAAAAATGAGAATGATATTTGGCAGAAAAGCATGCAAAGAAACACATAAAGATAGAAAAACTACAATTAAAAAAAAAAGTTTAGGCCAAAAGATGATCTATAGATCCCAACAGATAAAACAGTTGGAATCACTATAGATAAAATAACTGCATTTACAGCAGTAGCATGTTTGGATTTGTCTTGAAATCTTGGACATTGCATTCTATGACATGTCACAAAAGAAAATGCAGGCATTTTTTAACTTATGACAGAATTGGAGAATAATCTTTTAACTTGGGTAGCACAGACTAATGACTAGATAGAAAAACACCACTGAGAAAAGAACAAGTGTGAGGAGCAGTGCTATAATCCCAGTGGCTTAGGAGGCTGAGGAGGCAGGAGGATCATGTGTTCAAAGACAGCCTCAGCAACGTAGTGAGGCCCTGAGCAACTCAGTGAGGCCCTATCTCTAAATAAAATATTAAAAAAGGCTGGGGATGTGGGTCAGCGGTTATGCATCGCTGGGTTTAATCCCCAGTACCAAAAAAGAAAAGAAAAAAAAAACAGGTGTTGGGACTTGGCTTAGACACATGAAGAATTTTATAATAGTAAATATTAATAAATTTCAGCTGGAGGATTTTCTGAAATCTTAAGATGCTATGATGCATTATATATGTTGCCTATAATATAATCATGTGTGATATGATCATATATATGTATATATAAATACACACATATGTGTAAGCATATACATGAACACATAAAGAATCACCTACTATTCTTAGGGTAATCCAGCATTTTCCCATGTTCTCACATGCTAACAAGCAATAAATGCAGTGTTACTTTGTGAAACACCATCAGCAAGTAGTGATGTTTTGTACGCTTCTATAAACCATCTTTATAGGACTGGCCAATCTCTGCTATAGACCCATAAGAAAGTAAACTAAAATGTAGCAATATTTTTTTGCAACAGGCTGTTATTAATTTTGGATTCTTAGGAAATGATTACTTCCAATGCATTCATGAGTTGCTGTACAATAGTCAATAGTACCAATGGGTCTTATTGGTATTCATTTCTTTTGATGGTTAATAATCATTTTCCTATTCTGGAAGGTACCCTATTAATGATTTTTGTTTTCCCACTGACAGCCTTATAAAATTTTTGTAACTTTAAAAATTTCCTCTCTTTATTTTATTGGAAATTCAACAGTTCAAAGAACTAAATAAATACTTCTAAACCCAAACTACTGTGTGTGGAGGAAGTCACTATATTTCCCAGAGAATGTGGAGTTAATGTGGATTAAGGGACAGAATGACATGCTGCATTTTTAACATTGGGTATACATAGACCAGTTGACAAACTGACAGAAAATACGTAATGCAACAGCTGCACTGTGTGGTTTGCCAAAATCTCGTCCCAAATAAATGTTCGTTCTCCCTAGTGCAATTAACTCTCCTATACTGGCAGATTTTGCTAGAAGATCATCAAGGTAGATTACCTTCCAGCATTATGAACTAAATACTTACAGGTGTTATATCATCAGTTATAACTTATAAACTCTTGCATTTAGTAAGACTTCCAGGCAAATGAATCATCTAATTTATGAATTATTTATAAGAAATTCACAGCATGCTCCTGGCGTCATCCATGGCCTTTTCCAGGTCATATGACACCAATTAGAGTTGAATTTTAAATTATTCAATAACCTGAACTCTCTTGTCATTTAACATATAGATATCAATGCAGTAAACAAGTTAAATCTAATGGGCCCTAGAGGTTTAAGCTCTTCTACAGTGCAGCAGCTAAAGCAGTAGGCCATCAGTGGAAGAGAAAATAACAGAATGCAGCAGTTGAACACATTTGCAAAGCTCTAATAACTTATTCTAGTTCCCATAGGGACTGTGACACAACTTACGAATATTGAATCTAAAAGACATTAAAGTCAATACTTATGAGATTTAAAAGAATATAGGTACACAGAAGGCACAAGAGAACACACAAATGACAGAACACTAGCAACAAGTACCAAATGCCATACTAAGTCCTAGGATATACACACCATAGGATTGCCAACATTTTTTTAAACAGTAACTCAGTAACTACCAGACTCTAAATCATTATTACATTTACCCAAAATTGGAATTTGTTGAGTTGCTATACAAATGAATAGACAGCATGGAATAATTGACAGTATAATCCAGTTTGAGGTCATAAGACTGTGATTGGAATTCCATAACCATTACTTAAAGTTGTTATTTTAGGCATTTTGTTATTTGTAAAGAAGGAGTTGGGTTTGATGATTTCTATGGTTTATGCTATTTTTAAGAGCTTAAAAAATAGGGATTAGGTTGTTATACTCCAAGGAAATGAAAGAAATTAAAAAGGACTGGCTGAGAAATCATACCATTCAGTAAATACTATCAACTGACCGACCTATAACAAGATTACTGAATGTTCTTTGGTTCTATTTCCTCTAGCAAATTGCAGATTTAACTGTTACTGCCTTATGACTCATATACTAAAGAATTTAAACCATTACCTTGACTTATGTTTGGCTCCTAGATTTGAAATACACAACTGAAGAATGAATAAGGCAAATGCATAGTTGTGGTGATGATACTAAATATTTTGAATGGATTAAAACGGGACAACCATTCACCACAGCCATGTTACTGACTCAAAATGCATTCACATATGATTGTAATCACACAAAAAAGTAGGTTTAAACAGTTTTCTAAATCTAATCGAGGAAACAGAAGCATAAAGCTAGTTTTAATTATTTAATGAAGTCATAAAATGGTAAAATAATTTTTTATAGAAAATCAGATAAATGAAAGACAAAGTAACACCCTAGTAGAAGTGGTGAGAACAACCTTCAGAGATACAAAATGAAAACAAAACATATTTCAAGGATAAAGCCAACTGGTACTTATTTCAGTTAAAAATGCAGTACTAGACAATAATCCATAGGAAGTCATACATCAATCAATTTTCTTTTGCCATCATCCTCTTGGTGTTCATGGATTGTATCCTTGAGCTCACAAAGGGCACTCCCGTGGTTGTTCAATGACTTCTCTCGTGTCCCTCCAATAACAATCAGTCTCTAGAATGGAAACAAGAATTGTATGCAGACAGATGTTTCAATGCAGTCTTATTTTTAAGAAGGAGCAAACAAGATGACTTTGTATCAAAAGAAGGAAAGTTTTAACACAAAATTCTTCAGAAATTTTCTAGTGAATATAAAGTTAACACTGTGAGTGTGACCAACTGTCCCTGAAATGAAGCTCAGAGTTTACACTGCATTTATGCAACTAGCTGAGAGGGAAAAGTATTTGCACTGTATTTCTAATTAAAGATAGTGAAAAGAAACTCTCCCAGAAAAGCAGTACTTAAGAAATACCAAGAAGTATAACCAAACAAGAAGAATGAAAAACCAGATTGCTATTTATTAACTAGATTTCTCAAAGTGAATCACTGTTCTGATTTATTAAAGACCAGAATCTTTCTGAAGCTCCATACTCATTTTTCCTCTGTAGAAGTAGCTAGAAGAGACCTAGTGAGAAGCATCTGTGAAAGCACAGAGGTCTTTACAGGGCCAGCACTTTCTGGGAGACTCAATTGTTTAGAATTTAGTTATACAGTACTGAATCTTGATTCTTTAAAAATTAGGACATTGTTTATTAGCTGGTTTAATTTATTGTTAAAAAAAACCCAAGATATTTAACTTGGAATTCAATTAAAAAAAAAATCAGTAACTTAATTGCCTACTGTTCAAATGCCCTGACTCCTTTTTTTTCTATTCTTCAAAATTGTATTGGCACCACTTCCTTCTTTGTGGTTTTCCTATTCTCTCAGCTCAAACTATTTATGCCTTCCTAGATACCCCAAGAGCACATTATTCATTCTTTTTAATTTTTTAAAATTTTTTATTGCTGGTTGTTCAAAACATTACATAGTTCTTGATATATCATATTTCACACTTTGATTCAAGTGGGTTATGAACTCCCATTTTTACCCCATATACAGATTGCAGAATCACATCAGTTACACATCCATTGATTTACATATTGCCATACTAGTGTCTGTTGTATTCTGCTGCCTTTCCTATCCTCTACTATCCCCCATCCCTTCCCCTCCCCTCTTCTCTCTCTACCCCCTCTACTGTCATTCATTTCTCCCCCTTGTATTATTTTCCCCTTTCCCCTCACTTCCTCTTGTATGTA